GTTGGCTTTTTAGAAAAATTGTCTGGCCAAACAATGTGTTTGACTTGCAAATTTAGTCAGTTTGGTTTTTTTTTAATCTTTATTTATTTTTATTGGGAAGTCAGATATACATAGAGGAGGAAAGACAGACAGGAAGATCTTCCGTCCAATGATTCACCCCCCAAGTGACCTCAACGGCTGGTGCTGCGCCAGTTCGAAGCCAGGAGTCTAGAACCTCCTCCAGGTCTCCCACATGTGTGCAGGGTCCCAAAGCTTTGGGCTGTCCTCGACTGCTTTCCCAAGCCACAAGCAGGGAGCTGGATGGGAAGCAGAGCTGCCGGGATTAGAACCAGCGCACATATGGGATCCTTGTGTGTTCAGGGCCAGGACTTTAACCACTAGGCCATACCGCCGGGCCCAATCAGTTTGGTTTTAAGGCTAATACTGACATGTAAAAACTGGCTTCTGTCATGTGGTTGATCAATAATATCACTATTTCCTCGCCTAATGGTGTCCGGTATGCCACATTGGCTTTCTTCACTCCTTTTAACAGATTTTTCTTTACCTTTGACTGGCTGAATTATTCAAAACTATTACCTGCAATTCATCAATGTAAGATATTCTTTTTTCTGCTAAGTCAATTCTTTTAAGCTCTCAGTTATATTTTTCATTGATTGAAGCATTCAGCTCCAAATTTTTTTATTGATTCCTTTTTTAAAGATTTATTTATTTATTTATTTGATTTTTTAAAAAGATTTATTTTTTATTATTTTTTATTGGAAAGGCGGATATACAGAGAGGAGAGACAGAGAGGAAGATCTTCTGTCTGATGATTCACTCCCCAAGTGAGTGCAACAGCCGATGCTATGCCAATCCGAAGCCAGGAGACTCTTCCAGGTCTCCCACGCGGGTGCAGGTTCCCAAAGCTTTGGGCCGTCCTCGACTGCTTTCCCGGGCCACAGGCAGGGAGCTGGAAGGGAAGTGGGGCTGCTGGGATAGAACTGGCGCCCATATGGGATCCCGGGCGTGCAAGGCGAGGACCTTAACCACTTGCGCCACCGCGCCGGACCCGAAGATTTATTTATTTTTATTGGAAAAGCAGATCAGATTTACAGAGAGAAGGAGAGACAAAGATTTTCCACCCCCTTGTTTACTTGCCAGGTGGCTGCAACAGCAGGAGAGGGGCCAGTCCAAAGGCAGTGGCCAGGATCTTCTGCTGGGTCTCCCAAGTGCTAGCAGGGTCCCCAGGGTACAGGCCATCCTTTACTGCCTTCCTAGGCCACAAGCAGGGAGATGGATGGGAAGTAGAATAGCTAGGACACAAGCCAGTGCCCATATGGAATCCTGGCAATTGCACTGAGCGCCTGATTCTTAAAAATTATTTGTATGTTTTTGTTGAATTTCTCATTGATGTCATGCATTATTTTTCTTGCTTCTTTGAATTGTTTTCCTTCATTTTCTTGTACGTTATTGTATTTCCTTAGGATAATTATATTGAAATTTTTAAGACAATTAATGGATTTGATTCAAATCAGAATCTTTTTTTTTTAATTTGTGTTTCTCTGGAAGTGTCATACATCCTTGCTTCTTCATCTTTTCAGTTGTCTCTATGTTGATGTCTACACATCTGGTGTAACAGTTACTTCTTCATTCATTGAATATCTTGTATTAGAAAAGACTTGTCGTTTGAATGAAATGTAGGGTATCAGAGGAGTAGTTGCTTTGATTTGCTCTAGCTGAACCCAAAAGTGTAAACTCTGAGTGATTTATTTAGCTATGTTGGTAGTGAACAGGAAGCCTACGGTTGCTTAGTCTGGAGCTGTCTGAGGAGGTGATGGTATGACTGAAGTTCTTTTTTTTTCTTTTTTGTTCTTGGTGCAAATTTAATTTTATTAAGCTTTACAATGAATGTTGTGGTGTTATCATTTCCATTGTGCGACAATTTATTGGCTGGCATCTGAATACAGTACTTCTTTTGAAAAAATACACAATGGGAACAGACAAAAGAGAGAGAAACTTGTTGTTTATTGATTCATGAGGGGAAAAAAAAGAAACAAGAAAAAAAAAAGCATGGCCAATGAGTTTCCATTTCTTCAGCATCCACCTCTGAAAGGGTGACACTCCAAGGCAGTCATGCTGTTCCCATGCGTAGCATGTTACTATCCCAACCAGCCCCCATGATTCTGAGCAAATTAATAAGATCTATTAGGCTGCATTAAGATTTTAAAGAGTTCCCTTCCAAAGATTAAGATCATCGATTTTTCCAAGTCACACCAGACAGAGGTCTCTAAGATACCACCCATTAAGGTTGTCACTTCACCAGTAAGCAGTCACTCAACTCCAGAATCATGATGGGCACCAAATGATCGAGGCTGATTTGGGCTAAGTCTGTTGGATTTATGGATACATTTTAATCTACAATCCATCTAAACTGGATTTGTAAACTGGTATCTAATCTGTATAAAATAACCATTTCTTTCAGAGGAATGATAAAAAATCAGTGGTTTCCAATAAGGAATTTTTTGTAGAAATATAATCAAAATGTACCCATCAACACCAGCCATGCTATGGTGTATTGCTTAGTTTGACTCAAGTACAATGGACTCATTAATTATTAAATTTATTCAATTATAGTTAAAATGGAACACACTTTGAGGTTCTAAAGAGAGATATCCCCTTGTTTGACCAGGCAAGCCTGGGTGAAGCTGCCACTTGCGGCATCAGTATCTGTGGTCCTGGATAAGTGTTATGTATATCGAACCTTCCCAATTTCCTGCTGTGTGGGCATAGATGATGCTTATAGCTTTAAACAACCTAGTCCTAGCACTGCAGGATGCTAACAGGACTTTGACTTAATCCTGCGGGTTGAGTATAGTTTATTCTGGGGATTGTGGAGTGGCATATTTATGTTCGGACCAAAGGAATACAGATGGTATGTTCCCTAGGTCCCCCAGTATGAGTCCAGTGACTCTGAGGAGTATAGCACTAATAATCAATCCTGGAACTTAGGACATGAAGGATACTTTGGCTAGGTCCCATGAGAAAAGCACAAGTTATTGTGAGGATTGTCCACTGACAAACATGGAGATATACTGTTGGAATGGAAGGAAACTTAGCAAGATCTCACAGGCAAGTGCAACTGTTCCTGGGATTTATACAGCCAACAACCATATCTGCAAGACGCAATGGAAACCTTATCCATATATTACACTTTATGCTCAGGTTTTGCCAGGGATTGTGCCCTGGCAGGCATGAATCCAAAGTAGTGAATTGCAAGTAGGTTACTTGCCAGGTCTCATGGCATGGATTCAGGTGACTCTGTGGAGTACAACTGCAACAATCTGAGTCCCAGAACAGCAAAACTTAAAGAGTACTTAATCTGTGTCCCACAGGTGATTATGCTGAGGACTATACTGTATCCTCTGTAAACCTCGTTCAGTGCGATGCAGATACAATGTCCCCCAGTCTCCACAGGGGATAGCAGTGTCCCTGGGACATGTAAAACCATCACAGACACAAAGCAGGATGCAATGGGGTCTAACTCAGATTTCACAAGTCAAGTTCCCATTGTATTAGCAACTACCAATCTGAAGTAGATAAATGCAAATAGGATCCTCTAGATCCTAGGATCTAGAACAGCTACAGTCCTAGAGCTGCAGAACATAGGGATGTCTGCTAATTTCCAGAGATGTGCAAGGATGATGCTGGGGTTTGTTCCCTGGCAACTAAGCACCATGTGCTAGGAGATGCACAATATCTTGTGAGTTTGTGTATTTGCTTGGCTGGTGCCTGCCAAGCCCCAAGAAGCATAGGGGAACTTCCCAAACCTTTTTATTTTTTTTAAACCAAAGCAGTTGCTTGGGTCAGAGTCAGATTTCTAGAGTTGATTTAAAGCCACTGAAGACTCGGGTTTACTTGTTGTTAAGGCTTTTGGTTAGCTGTGGTGGTGAGGGTCTTAGGCCTTTGCTTAACTTTCCCTGGCGAGATGGCAAACCCCACCTCTCCCCTGCTTGGGACATGGAGAAGGACCTGCAATGTGCTCTTTCCTATCTGCTCACTTTCAGAGCATCTGTTCTGTTTCAACACTGAAGTTTTCTCTCAGTGGTTGGGAGAGCAGGAAAATGTTTTGGTCAAGAATTTCTGTGTCCACTTTGAATTTTATCTTGGGCACCTGTTATTGCTTCAGATGGATAAACACAGAAGTGTTAAGTGAAAATGGGATCTTTCGTAAGAGTAGAAGAGAAAACAGAAACTCAGAAAATATTAGTTAAGGTTGCCTTTATTTAGTTACTTTTACATTTTCAAAGAGCTCCGATCCCTGTATTTCTGATAAGTCATGACAACTATTATCATCTTCCCCAGTTCATCATGTATAAGACCTTTTTTATCCATTGTCACAGCAGTTGTCTTATTTTTCTACTTCAGTTAGTATATTAGTAACTTCTTGGCCACATTTGCTTTCTACCCAAAAGTAGAACACAAGGACAACCTTTCAAGTGTTAACATCCCAAAGCTCAATTTAGTTTCTTGCTTTGGAATCCGACCCAGTTCTAACTCTTGGCGGTGGAGCCACCAAGATCTAAGGTGCCAACTTCACCGATGTAATCAGTAGTGTTTTTGCTCGTGGATAGATGAATTCATATTCTAGCCCTCACTGGGATTGTTAGATATCACTTGCCTTGATGTTGCAGCAATTTTTAAGAAAGGGGAATGCAGTGTGTTCGTGAATATGTCCTGAGACTTAAAGAATGCATGTGTATGTATCCAGTAGCTAGTTAGCACTCAGTATGTGCCAGGCATGTTACATAGCTGGAACAATCACAAGGAAAGTGTGTCTAGCTTTGGTGTGAAAAAGGGGTCAGGGTTAGAACACACATTACCCTTTCCTTGCCCATGTTTTGGTTGATGCCATAGTACTCCTTTACTGAAGTATCAAGTGGGTCACTCTATGTGTCATCTTCTTAATTGAGCCGCTTTAAGAATTTCTTTCAACTAACTTTTTGATGTTTATTTTCTAACAGATGATCCAAGAGAGCCGACTTCTCATAGAAATGGCAGACACAGTGCAAGAAAAGATTTTACAATGTCAGAAAGCAGGTAATGTCTTAAAAAAAAAAACTTATTTTGAAACCTCATTGATAATTCTTGACAGTTTTCTAAGATGTTTAGTTCCTCTCAAAATTCAGGTATTTTGTGATGTTACTTGAGTATTGTAGTTTAAACTACACTTAAGCCTTTGTTCAGTACTAAAGAAATGAATAAGTTGAATGTATGTATACTGGTGAGAGGTATCTATAGACATTTAAAATGATAGAGTTTTGGTTCTAGCTTAGTGTCTGGAACTATATAAAAATTTTTACTACTTTTATGAATACAACGATTCTACAAGACCCTTTAAAATCCTCTTCATTTTCTTTTTTTTTTTTTTTTTTATTTTTTTATTGTTGCTTACATTGTATTATGTAGTACAGTTTTATAGGCGCTGGGGATTCCCCCCACCCCCTCCCATAACCCTCCCCCCATGGTGGATTCCTCCACCTTGTTGCATAACCATAGTTCAAGTTCAGTTGAGATTCATTGCTTGCAAACACATGCCTAGCATAAAGTTCAGCGTCTTATTGTCCAGATAAGTTCAGTGGCCTCTTGGGGAGACCTTCTATGGTCTGAAGATAGGTCTAACAGAGTAGAGATCCGGTCAGTTAAAAGCCCCAACAAGGCCTCAGTGTCAATATACAACATTATGGAATTAATTGACATAGTAATGGGTAGACAATATGTTAAAAATAATGCAAGTTCCATTCTTCGAAACATCTGGGTTGAGACAGTATCAATGACAGGTTCAGAAAATAACCAACAACCAAACAAAAAATTACAGGTTAAATCAAGGCAAACATGTGGTATCTAATCTTTTGGGATTCACTCATTTCCCTTAGCATTATAGTTTCCAGTTGTGCCCATTTAGCCACAAAGAACTGCATTTTGTTTTTTTTAATAGCTGAGTAGTATTCCATGGAGTAGATGAACCAAAGCTTTCTTATCCAATCTTCTGCTGATGGGCATTTCGGTTGCTTCCATGTTTTTGCAATTACTGATTGTGCTGCAATGAACATAGGGATGCATGTTGGTTTGTCGTAAAACAGGTGTTTTGGATATATTCCTAGGAGTGCTATTGCTGGGTCATATGGTATGCAGATTTTGAGTTGTTTGAGTGTTCTCCAGACTGATTTCCATAAAGGCTGTACCAATTTGCAGCTCCACCAGCAGTGGAGTAGGGTTCCCTTTTCCCCGCATCCTCGCCAGCAAGCGTCGTTGGTGTTCTTGTTTATGTGGGCCAATCTTACTGGTGTTAGGTGGTACCTCATCGATGTTTTAATTTGGATTTCCCTTATTGCTAGGGAGCTGGAACATTTTTTCATATGTTTGTTTGCCATTTGGACTTGTTCCTTTGTGAAATGTTTGCCCATTTCCCGTGCCCATTTCTTGAGTGGTTTGTTTGTTTTGGTTTTTTGGTTGTTTTGAAGTTCTTTGTATATCCTGGAAATTAGCCCCCTATCGCCTATATCGTGTGCAAAGATCTTCTCCCAATCTGTGGGTTGCTTTTTTACTTTGTTGATTGTTTCCCTTGCTGTACAGAAGCTTCTTAGTTTGATGAGGTCCCATTTGTTTATTCTGTTCTCAACTGCTATTGCTTTTGGTGTCCTTCTTAGAAAGTCGGAACCTACTCCTAGGTCTTGCAGGGTATTTCCTACATTTTCCTGCAAGAGTTTGAAGGTTTCTGGATGTAGGTTTAGGTCTTTTATCCATGTAGATTGGATCTTAGTGTATGGTGATAGATGTGGGTCTATCTTTTTGTTTCTACAGGCTATCAGCCAGTTGTCCCAACAACATTTACTAAAGAGGCCTTCCCACTTGCTTGAGTTGTCATTGGTCTTTTTGTCAAAGATTAATTGGCTGTATTTGTGTGGGTTCCCTTTTGGTGCTTCTATTCTATTCCATTGATCTTCCTTTCTGTCTTTGTGCCAGTACCAGGCTGTTTTGATAACCACTGCTCTATAGTATGTCCAGAGGTCCGGGATTGTGATTCCCCCTGCTAACTTCTTATTTTTCAGGATGGTTCTAGCTATTCGTGGTTTTTTGTGTTTCCAGATGAACTCTTGAATCATTGTATCCAGTTCCGTGAAGAATGTTTTGGGCAATTTGATTGGAATTGCGTTGAAAATGTATATTGCTTGTGGTAGTATAGACATTTTAATGATATTGATTTTGCCTATCCAGGAGCACGGGATGTTATTCCATCTTTTGAGGTTTTGTTCAATTTCCTTTTTAAATAGTTTGTAGTTTTCTTCGAATAGGTCTCCTACGCTTTTGGTTAAATTTATTCCCAAATACTTCATACTTCTCTCTGCTATTTTGAATGGTATCCTGTTGGTTAGATCTTCTTCCATCTTGGTGTTATTTGCGTACACTATGGCTGTTGATTTTCGTTCGTTAATTTTGTACCCCGCCACTCTGCCAAACTCTCGTATAAGTTCTAGCAGTTTCTGTATTGAGTCTCCTGGTTTTTCTATGTACAGGATTATGTCATCTGCATATAGTGAAAGCTTGACTTCTTCGTTTCCTATACGTATGCCTTTGATTTCTTTTTCTTGTCTTATGGCCTCTGCAAGTACCTCTAGGACTATGTTGAATAGCAGTGGTGATAGCGGGCACCCTTGTCTTGTTCCAGATCGCAGTGGGAAGGGTTCTAGCTTTTCTCCATTCAGTATGATACTGGCATTGGGTTTTTCATAAATTGCTTTGATTATGTTGTGGATTTTCCCATCTATGCCTACTTTGGCTAGAGTTTTTAGCATGAAGAGGTGTTGGATTTTGTCGAAAGCTTTTTCTGCATCTATTGAAACTATTATGTGGTTCTTGTTTTGCAGTTTTTGGATGTGGTTTATAACATTTATGGATTTCCGAATGTTGAACCATCCCTGCATTCCAGGGATGAATCCTACTTGATCCGGATGAATGATCTGTCTGATGATTTTTTGAATTCTATTGGCTAGGATTTTGTTGAGAATTTTAGCATCAATGTTCATCAGAGAAATAGGTCTGTAGTTTTCCTTCTCTGATGGTTCTCTGTCCGGTTTTGGGATTAAGGTGATGTTAGCTTCATAGAATGAGTTTGGGAGGGTTGCTTCCTCCTCTATTGTTTTGAAGAGCTTGTAGAGGATTGGGGTTAGTTCTGTTCGGAATGTTTTGTAGAATTCTGTAGTGAAGCCGTCTGGGCCTGGGCTTTTTTTCGTTGGGAGATCTTTGATGACTGTTTCAATCTCTGCCTCGGTTATGGGTTTATTTAATTCTGCAGTTGCCTCCGGACTGAGTTTTGGTAAGTGGTGGGAGTCCAAGAACTTTTCTATTTCTTGGTGGTCCTCAAATTTGTGGGAGTACAGTTCTTTGTAGTAATTTCTAATTATTTTCTTAATGATTGCAGTGTCTGTTGTTATGTTGCCTTTTTCATCTTTAATGCTATTGATTCTCACTTTCTCTTGTTTTTTTTTGGTCAATCGGGCCAGTGGAGTGTCTATTTTGTTTATTTTCTCAAAAAACCAACTTTTTGATTTGTTGATTTTATGTATAGTTTTTTTGATTTCTATTTGGTTTATCTCCTCCCTTGTTTTGATGATTTCTTGTTTCCTATTGTGTGTGGGACTCTTCTGCTGCTGTTTTTCCAGATCCTGGAGGTGTGAGGTTAGTTCCTGTATTTGGCGTCTTTCTTGGGCCTTGACATGGGCTCCGATTGCGATGAATCTACCTCGTAGCACTGCTTTGGCGGTGTCCCACAAGTTTTGGAATGTTGTATCAGAGTTTTCATTGGTTTCCATAAATTTTTTGATCTCATCTTTAATTTCTTCTCTGACCCATTGTTCGTTTAATAGCATGTTGTTCAATTTCCAAGAGTGCCTATACTTCCTGGGGAGTTTTGAGTTGTTGATTTCCAGTTTCATCCCATGGTGGTCTGAGAGGGTACATGGTATGATACTAATGTTTTGGAAGTTGTTTAGATTCGCTTTATGTCCTATCATGTGGTCGATTCTGGAGAAGGTGCCATGCACCGCTGAGAAGAAGGTATAGTCTGTGGACTTAGGATAAAAAGTTCTATATATGTCTACTAAGTCCAGTTGTTCTATTGTTTGTGTGAGCTCTGTTGTTTCTTTGTTGAGTTTTTGTTTCGTAGACCGGTCCATTGTTGTTAGAGGTGTGTTGAGATCGCCTACAAGAATTGTGCGGGTGTCTATGTCTTCCCTTAAGTCTGTAAGTAATTGCTTTACGTAAGTAGGTGCATTAAGATTCGGTGCATAAACATTAATGATGGTGATTGCTTCTTGATGGATCATTCCTTTCACCAGTATAAAATGGCCTTCCCTGTCTCTTTTGATGTTGGTTAGAATGAAATCTATCTCGTCTGAAATTAGGATAGCTACCCCAGCTTTTTTTTCTCGTCTATTGGCGTGAAATATCTTTTTCCATCCCTTCACTTTCAGTTTCTTTGCATCCTTTCTGGTTAGATGCGTTTCTTGTAGGCAACAGATGGTTGGGTCTTGTTTGATGATCCATTCTATTAATCTCTGTCTTTTGATTGGTGAATTTAGACCATTTGTGTTGAGAGTTAAAATTGAGAGGTTGCAATTTTGCCCTGCCATGTGATTGTGTTGTGTGTGTGTTGTTGCCTATGTAATTGTCTTGTTGGTGCGGCCTTTAGTTTGGAGACCTTCTTATTTGCCAACTTTGTTTGTGATTTGCCTCCTTTTTGTCCGGGACTAGCGCATTTCTAAGGAGACTTTGCAGAGCTGGTTTTGTGTAGACATATTCTTCTAGTTTTTCTTTGCTATTGAAGTATCTGATTTCGTTCTCATATACAAATGAGATCTTTGCTGGGTAGATTATTTTTGGTTGACAGTTGTTTTGTTTCAGGACTTGGAAGATCTTTGTCCATTCTCTCCTTGCTTGTAGTGTCTCTTCGGAGAAGTCAGCAGTGATTCTGATGGGTTTTCCCCTGTATGTGATCTTTTCTCTACTTCGTACTTGTCTCAGGATTCCTTCTTTGTCTTCATTGGAGTAGAACTTGAGCACCGTGTGTCTGGGTGAAGATCTCTTTGGATCATGTCTGTTGGGAGTTCTCTGTCCATCCTGTATGCGGGGTGGATTCGTGTTCCAAGTGTTTTGGAAGTTTTCCTGTATAATTTCATCGAGCACTGCTTGCATCCCAGATTCTCTTTCTACTCCCTCGGGGAGGCCGATGATCCGAATATTCAATTTTCTAAGGTAATCCTTCATCTCTTGCATCATTTTATTAGTTTTGCTGAGGTTTGTCTCCAGCTGTTTAATTCGCTGGGCACTTTCATTTTGTGTGTCTTCTGTTTCAGAGATCCTTTCCTCTGCCGCATTTATTCTGTTGATGAGGCTTTCAATCTTATTATCTTGGGCATCCAGTTTGGTTTTGATTTGTTGTATTTCGGTGATTATGCGGTTCTGGAAGTCTTCCAGCTTTGTGTCCACGTCTCTGAGAGATTTTAGCATTATTTTCATCAATTCCTTTGTTGGTAACACTTCCATGTCTTCATCTCGTATCGTCGATATTGATAATGGCTTTTGGCCCTTGTTTGGTGGGGTGCTGGCTCTTTCATCTGGAGCACAACTCTTTCTGGTGGTTTTTCCCATTGCGTTGGTGTATTCTGGTGAGGCAAATGGACCCGTGTGTTGAGGGGCTGTCAGGTGCTTTCCTGTAGAGATTGGAGCCTGTAGGCGTGGTGTTGCCGGGCGTGGTAATTTTCAAGGCACCGTTGGTGCGTTCTCAGGGCCCGGGGCTGTAGAGCACCACCTTGGGGGCCCAGTGGATTCCAGGCACACTCTGGGCACCTCTTCTACAGGTGTGACACCCCAGGGCGTGGCGGGATGGAGGCGCTCTCTGGGTGTGCTCCCTTCACGGGAATCCGCAGTGCGTAGAAGGTTTTATGTGCTTTCTCCCTGCGTTCTCCGTGTCAGGGACTGCAGGGTTTTTCAGAGCCCACCTGGTGCGTCTCCCACACACGGGACTGTGGGTGAGGCACTTTGCAGGCGTGGCTCTTGTGCAGTGAATCCACCACTCGTGGTGTGTGGGTGTTCAGAGCCCCTGCTCCCGTGTGGCTCCCCCACTCAGGCCCTTAGCGGAGGAGTGGCCCAGGCGCCCTGTTATAATGACTTCACGGCGGCAGGTTCGCACCGTGTCAGTTTGTTGCAGGAGTTCCCCTGACACCTGACACCTGCGCTACGGAGGTGCTGCTGCTGCAGGCGGGGCGCCCAGCCCGCTCGGTGCGGCGATCAGAGTCCTGGTGGTTTCAAGCACTCACCAGGCAGGATGTGGGGGACTCCAGACCCTCGCCAGCTACCTCTGCGCACCGAGCCGCACTGGTCCCCTCAGCGCAGGGACATCCGATGCGCCTTCCCGGGGCCCCCTCAGCCACCAACACAACACCACTGTGCGTAGTTCCACACAGACCCAACAGTTTCGGCCGTCTGCTCCGCGTTCTGAGGCTGGAGCCTCAGCGGGGGGCGAGAAATGCGGAGGCTGCCACGTCAACCCCCAGCTCACCAAAAGTCCGGCCGCTGCAGTCTGCCTCCACCGCTGCCGAAGGCCTCCCGCCGGTGACGATCCCCCTGATCTCCCCGCCTCCGAGCTGGCCGCGTCTCCCGTCAGGCCGTTTTCAAAAGTGACTCAGCAGGTCTGGAGTGGGATGTCGGTTTCTCTGCCTTTGCCCTGCTCCGTTCTCGTTGTTCTTCCGAGTTGTGTGGATCTTTTTGGCTCCACACTGTCCCAGGGAGCTTCACGGACCTCTCCCTGCGGTTCCCTGCTGTTCCTCTTTGCTGCTTCTGTAGCTTTCTATCCCTTTCTCACTAGACTCTCCCTCACAGCCCTCCTCCTACGTCGGCCATCTTCGCTCTCAATCCTCTTCATTTTCACAGTCGTGTTCTCTGTGTCCCATCTACTAGTCTTTATTTTAGATTTGTTGTTTCTTTAAGGATGTTCGTGTGTGAAAGTGTGTGTGCACCTCTAATTATTACGGTTCTCCTACATCCATGCTCTTATGATTTTTGTCTCTTGTATCCGCATACTCCTCTGTCTGCACATACAGTAGTGCTTATGGTTAGGAAAATGATAGCAGTGATAGTTAACAATAAATATGCATACCTTATATGGAGCATAAACACTGTTTTAGTTGTCATAACAATTCTGTAGGATAATCATCCTTCTATCCAATTTGTAGGTGATGCAGCTGAGATTCTGAGAGAATTACCCAAGATCTCATGTCATTATGTGATGTAGCTGGCCTGTGGATATAGACCGCAGTTTATGATGGCATTCTTTCCTGGCCAGTAGGTTTGGATGTTTTGGGTGATAGGAAGCACAAAAATAACACGACTTGATGCTTTGAGAGTTTGGATGATTAACCTTCACAGGAATATTATGAGGCAAAGCTGTTGTTACCATCACTTCACCAGCAAGGAAACTGAAGCAGGGAGATTTTCAAAGACTTACTAAGCTCTCCTAGCTAGTAAAAGGTTGATGCAGAATGTCAGCCCTGAACTTCACCTCATGCCCTGTTTGTGGTGTTGGAGCCAAAAGCTAGTATAGTTCTAGCCCCAATTAATAGAAGTGCAGCAACTAGAACAAGGAGAATTGCAGAAAATCTTGCTCCTGAATGCATCTCCACACTGTTGAAGTCAACTCAGCTGGGCCATACAGTGGCCCTGCCTGTACGCTGCCCTAAAGAAGAATCATTAGTAACTGGCATGGGTTGGATTATTTAATTTGAAAAGGACAGCAATATGGAAGGGAAATTAGATTTTGCAAATCTGGGTCCAGCTAACACTAGGGAATAGAAGTTCCAGGGAAGATTCTGAATCCATGTTGTAAATTTCCATAGACAGAATGAACAGTCCATTAGAGAACATGATTTCCAACTCTAAAATGCTAAGACAAAGCCTTGAGAAACAGATGGTATTTTTTTAAATTCAAGCCTGAGTGAGTGAGTGATAAAAAAATACTAAAGGCAAGTCATTGTTTTTAATTTTGATTGTCATTTACTAATTACTGTTATCTACATGGAATAAACTATAAGTATGATTCAAAAGAAAAGTAAGACATGCATAGTTCTTACTTGTGACTGCCATTCATACATCACACCATTCCATACAAAAGCCAAGACCAAGAGAAGCAAGTAAAAGTTGTTAAAACAATATGCGCCTTAACTTCCTCTCTCCACCTTTGGGTTGTTCAAATGTGCTTTAGGTGAATGCAATAATGATTGTTAGGTTTTTCTCCCTTTTAGTGGCACTAGCAAAATGGATGGAATAATTCAATTTAGGGATTTAGAAATTATGTATAGAAAGGAATGTGAAATAATACTAAGAATATTTTCAATTCTAAATGCTCATTTTTTCCAATTTACTCCATAATATCTCATCTTTCTTTTTCTCCAAGGGATGGAGTTTCATGAAGAACTTCATAATTTGGGCGCAAAAGAAGGTTTAAAAGGGAGAAAACTCAACAAAGCAACTGAGAGCTTTGCTTGGAACATTACAGTATTGAAAGTAAGAGAAATACCAAGATCCTATCTTTGCCTGCATTTTTCTCCTCCTTATTTCTCTGGTGTGTTAAGTATAGTGGCTGAGTTTGAGTTCTTACGCAGCCTGATCACCAGGTTAGTGCTGCTAGGAGTGGGAAGAGCCAGTCTAAGATGGACACACTTTACTTGAATGGGGCCATCAGGTTTGTGCTGGAGGCAGGGGATGCTACACATGTGTGGCTTAATTTCATGGACTGGTATGTGTGTGTATATTTTTAATCTCACAGACACTTTTGTTCACATAAACATGGATGTTCTGCTTACTCAAAGAATGATGCCAGATGTCGCTGGAGAAGGTTCCAACACAGTAATTTGGAAAAGACCTAAGCTTCAGAATACTAGGGCCACTTAGGGATTTTGTTTTAGGAACAAGCCTTATAAAAATGTTTCTTAAAACAAATTGCTTTGAAAATTAATTTCTTAAGGTTATGAATTAATATCACTTTTTAAGGGTTTTTATACATGAAGAATTATTTAGGGGGGGATGGAATAAGTTTTTTTCTGACAGTGTGATGGGAGGAAAATACCCATGAAAGAATAATATTTGATGATACTTAAAAAACACCTACTATGGGCCAGGCATACTTTTATGAGATGTGTATGAATTAACAACTTGGTGCTCTAAACAGCTTTATACTGTTATCTCATTTTACAGGTAAGAAATGGAGGCATAAAAATCTTAATGTTTAATACCCATGGTCACTCACTAGTAAATGGTGGAGCTAGAATTGGACTTTGATGCCAGAGTATGCACATGTTTAATCTGCTGTATAGAGATGTTGTGCATGTTTATATGAAAGTACTAGATGAACTGTATGACATGGAACAAACTCCATTAAAAATTCAGATATATAACTCTGTCCTAGATGCTGGAGATACTTGAAGGGCAAAAGTGAAACAGATATTGGTCTGAGGAAAGCAATCGTTTTTAGTGGGAAAGGACAAATAGATGGGGAAAGATGAGCACCACATGCTGATGGTCCTGGTTGGAGTAGGGTTGTATTGGTATTCTCACCCCAGGGCCTGACATGGCAGCATGAATCTTGAGATAAGCAATCCCATTCAGATGTTTGTATGCCAATCACTGAGAACAATGCTAGCGATGCATATATCAAGGGTTACCTGGACCTCCAGGACTCATCTACAAGACAAACATGTAATGAACAATGACTGCCAATCATGGAACATTTAGTATGTGACCATCACTCAAGGCCAAGTGATTTATACACATTGTACAGTTCTGCCTTTTACACTGTGGAACCTTTGTAGCCACATATCCTGGCCCTGATAATTACTGTCCCCATCTCACAGATGCAGAAGCTGAGGGCAAAGGGGGTGAATGTTTCTTGCTTGGAGTCATGCAGCTAGTAAATGGCAGAGCCAATAGTTTTAACTCATTCAGAGATTCTAACCAGTACTCTGTTCTTCCTCGTATAAAACTCACTCCATGTGGCTGAGTTTCACTGAGTCCAGGTAAGCTAGACCAGAGCTAAGAGCGCAGGCTCTGTGTGCGGATGGCCTGACAGCAGTGCGTCTTTAGCTGAGTAATATCATCAGTCTGAGGGAGCTGATAATGCCTACATCTGGACTTTGTGAAAACTAAATGAGAGAATATATATAAAAGATCTAAGTCAAACACACAAGATTAGATAATAAATTTGTTAGCCTTTAATTTTCTTTTTTTTTTTTTTTGCCACTTGAGAATGATTAGCGGAAGAACAAGATTTTTGTCGTTGCTTTGGTTTGTTTCCTTGCTAACTCATGATGTAAACACACTCAGTGTTTCTTAAGGCTTGTTTGTCTGCCTGTGTGGTTTAATGGCAGGAACTGATTGCTAGAAAGAGCTGAGTAAATTCTGTACAAATCATTTCCAGACAGCTTTCAAAACAGAATTGATTTTTTTGACTGCATGGTATTTTTCTGGCATTTCATTTTGAGCTCTGGAAACTTAAATCGGAGTAGTGGACTTTTCCAAACTTCCATTGTTTCCTTTCTTACTGGGTTTGATGGGCCTAATAAGCAGGTGTCTTTCCCCCAGGGCCAAACAACTTTAGATTTGGATTCTGGCTGAGAGAAAATTAGACTGGACTGTGTTGTAGACTTTTAATCCAATAGTCATTCTGAGAAGAGCTTGTCTTCTGTAAGAATTTTCATTTAGTTTTTATGTGTCAGACCTGGAGTACTTAGTTTCTGCTTAGTTTTTCTATCTTGCTTTGATTTTCAGAGTTTTCCATAGTCTTTCAACAAATGTTTTTCAGGTAGGCCATTGGCTTAATGAGTAGCATGCTGGGTAAAATGCCTGCAACCCATATTAGTATTCAAAGTTCATATCCTGGCTTCAACTGCTATGCCAGTTTCCTGCCAATGCAGACCCTGGAAGGCAGAAAGTGATGGCTCGAATGGTTGGGCTCCTGCCATCTATGTGGCTGTCAGTTTCTGCCTAGCTCAGCCTCAGCCCCAGCCATGGTGGGTATTTGGAGATTGAACCAGCAGATGGGAGCTCTCTTTCTGTCTCTGTGACTCTCAAATAAAAAGAAGCAGTTTTTCAAGTCTTGTTTCTACTGAGTTCATTACAGTCAAACTACCTTGCGTACAAATGGATGGATTTGTGATAACTACCCTGGTATGACATCACTGAATTAGTAGGAAATGGCAGGACTCACCTGTAAAACTCTGCATAACCTGAAGGGAAAATTTTCCTTAAACAGAATTTAGACGAAACTGCTCACTTTCTAGGGAGAAGAAGTAGAGATTTGCCAATGCTGTTTAAATATACAGGCTCATGTTTCTAAAAACATTTCATTCCAGTGTGATTTCCAATAAGTAAGGGAGGAGCTGGAAACAATGATAAGTGTGCCCTTGGGGAATGGTGCTTGGCAGCCTGGAGTAGTGGAAAGGGGCACTGGATTTAGAGCAAACTGAGCTGAGACTGAGAAATAAATTACATGAACCTGATATTAATAAATGACAGGGAAGCTGGAGAAGAATTTGCATGGAGAAAAATAAGTCACTGTGCAAGTAGAATGAGTATGAATTGCGTCAAATTTTCCCCAAAATTAAGACCTAGAATCTATTGAGAAGGCTGAAGTTGAAATGGTCCAAAATCTCCCGTACATGTATTTTTCTTTCTAGCATTGTATGGAGGCCCAAAGTAAGGACTTGCTCAGCTGATCTTTTGCAGCTCCCCATACTTCTGCCATATATCTATATCCAACTCCAACAATGCTTATCCTCTCCTTTCTTTCTCTCTAGTGTACACAAAAGTGAATTCCTTGAATAGTTTGTTCACTTGTGGTGAACCTTGTCTCAATAACTCACTCCTCAGTACCTTCTCAAAATAATTGTTGATCTACTTCCATTTCATTTTGTCTTCATATATCTGCAGTCCCTTTCACCTTTTTTCATGTTATTCAGAAGTGAGTTTTTTAGTTCATTTGTGCTGCAATAACAAAATATTTAAGACTGGGTAATTTCTAAGAACAGGAATTTATTTCTTGCAATCCTAAAGGCTGGGAAACCAACAGTCAAGGAGTGGTATCTGGTGTGAGTTTGGTCTCTGCTTGCGTCCAGAATGACGCCTTGCTGCTTTGTCCTCCAGAGGGGATGACATGTCTCACACAATAGCAGGGAGAGAAGGATTTAAAAGGACAAAGTCCCCTCACAAGTTTCCTACAGTCCTTGATGGAGAAACCCTTGTGGACTGATAGCCCTCTGAAGGCCTATGTATGAATGCTGCTTCATTGGGAGTTAAGTTTCGCCGTGGATTTGGGAGACAATACATTCAAACCATAGCCGTTCTACTATTAAAAATAATGTTGAAATCTCACAGTTGGATTTTTCCTGTTCTTTAGTCTTCCACAAAAAGATTCTACAACTTAGTTCCTGTACTCATGATATTACAGCAAATTGTTTTTAATGTTTGAAGCATTTTATTCACAAGAGTTCTGAATATCTCATGGAAGAGAGCTATGAACTTGGAATATATCACTGACAAAAACGCGATCTACTATGAAGTACGGTTCATTTAAAGTCTTGAATTTTATCTAGGGTGCTTTGGCTTTTCAATTACAAAAAGAAATTCACTGTAATGCCGTCACAACTATAAAGCTGGAATTAGAAAGAACCAGAGAATAGGCTTTAGTGGGTTCTCTCAGCATACGCGTTACTAACATGGCCTGTTGACTGTTTTTAAAGAACTGAATTCTACTACCTCTACATTGAAAAAAAGTTTTCATGTCAAAGACAATAAATTTATCAGAATAGAGAACTATCTAGTAAAGATACATAAAAATAATGTTGAGGAAATATAATGAGTAAACATAAAGGAAAATTTACAAACGGAGTGACTGCTGAAGCTTAAAGAAGAAAAAAAGTCTGAGTGGCCTGCTTCTTACTTGTTTAAAAATTTCATTAATTCCTAGTTGAATGACATGTGGTGAATAAAAATAGTACTTGATCAGTGGTCACTCCTATTAAATAAGCACTTATTTAATGTGTATATGTGTATATATATTCATATGTGTATATATGTGTGTTTATATATAAAGTATATGTATATTATTTTTATATATGTTTATATAATATCAAAATTATACAACCACATGCTTATATATAAAATGTATGTATATACTTGTTTATATATAAAATTATGTAAATATCTTTTTAAAAAAGATTTATTTATTTATTGGAAAGTCAGATATACAGAGAGGAGGAGAGACAGAGAGGAAGATTTTCCGTCTGATGATTCAATCCCTAAGTGAGCGCAATGGCTGATGCTATGCCGATCCAAAGCCAGGATCCAGGAACTTCTTCGGGGTCTCCCACACGGGTGCAGCATCCCAAAGCCTTGGGCTGTCCTAGACTGCTTTCCCAGGCCACAAGCAGGGAGCTTGATGGGAAGTGGAGCTGCCAGGATTAGAACCGGCGCCCATATGGGATCCCAGGGCGTTCAAGGAGAGTACTTTA